TGGGCTCTCTGGGTAGGGTGTTTCAGCTGCAGAGTCGCTCATGGATCTTGTGGGTCCTTTCCTGCAGGTGTGTCCATGGGAACAGGTGTCCCAACTTTCCTCCCACACGTGGGGCTGTGGGCAATGCACTCATCTGATCGAGAGAATGAGCTGAATCTCCCTGTCAGGGCACCTGATTGGTGATGCTTCCTTCCAAGCTGTGAGCTGCCCTCCAGGGTGCAAACCTGTCCTGGAGAATTATTGTGTTGTTTGAACACCCTAAGGAGAAGTGTAGACATGCTACAGGTGAGGAGAGAAATGCTGATGGGTTGGTAAAATAAGCCAGTTGTGTCCTGGGGTAAAAAGGAAGTGCTGAGACTGTGCTTGACCCCACTACTCTCAGCTGTGTGTGGTGGCTTTTCAAGAAATTATGGAAAAGTGATCATCCTCCATTGCAACGAGGTGAAAGCTCAGAGAAACTGGGAACTAGACAAAGGGACAGAGCAGTTCCCCTCCCTGTGTGCTAAGTCCCACATGAGCCCCTTGTATCGCAGGACTCGGTCTGTTTTCTCTGAGAGCAGCAGAAATGCTGTGGGTTTCTGACATACCAGAATGTTCTCCAGGAGAGGTGGAAGGAGTTGTAAAGAACCCTGGAACTCTTAAAGAGTGCCTTCCCCATCCCCTTGCAGAAGCTGGCGTACCCTTCTGCGTGCAAAGTGGTTTCAAAAGATGAAGTCAAATCCCAGGAGAAGTCCTAGCCCCCACAGAGGGCTGCAGAGCAGGGCTGACTGACCGAGAGCCCCTGGGTGGACCCCGGCTCCTCATCACACATGGGGACAACATCAAGCAAGACCCCAGCCATGGGATTGATGGAAGGTCTCCTGAAAAATGAAAGGAGTGTCTCTGTGAGAGGGGTAGAGTCTGTGGGAAATGACTTTGATTTTTCCCAGAGAAATCTCTGTTAACTTGTCAATGACTATTTCTCCAAAGGAAGTGGCACATGGCCAGACAGAGCAAATGTCTAACAGCAGCTCCCTCAGCCAGTT